CAGTGTGCATATGGCTCAATGAGAATAAAAAAAGAAAAAAAGAAACAAAATAGTTTTCTAAAATTGTGCTTTCATTTTTTTATAGTCATTCTGTGGTTAGAGCTACACAGTCATCAAATTATATGCAGAAATAAATGTTTGTTTATATGATAATATAGCTTTTAATCTTTTGTATATAAATTACATCTCTGGGAATTTCAATCCATAGCTGGCAGAAAGACAAGTTATTTGAGACAAAATCTAAGATGAAATGTGGTACAGATAATTATATAATCTTTTGTAATTACAAAGCTATGCATTTTTTGTTTAAGAAAATATTTTCTGAGTCTTATTTGTAAAAACCAAATACTATAAAATTTATTCTAGCTAACAATATACTTTAAAAACTACCAAATAACAATATTCAATCCTATAAAATAAAATGCATTTAGACAAATGAATAATTGTTTTCCATACACATTCAGAATTGAGCATTAACTCTTCTAGGAACTCTTTTTGGGTTTCCCTCTAAGTACTCATTTGCCTTGTTCTCCTTTTTTCCTCTAGGTCGATACACATATCACAAATAAAACAATTATCAAATCACACTTTCATTGTATATTTGCTTTTCTGACATTCTGCTAGATTGTAAAAATTTGTAACATTGATATATTTTCAACCAGTACTTCAAATTGGGGAAGAGGGGAAATTTACTGGCTGCTTCCTATAAGTTCCAGTTATAGTGCCAGGGTGTTTTCCTTGCATAATTATGTTTATTACTGACAACACTGTGGGTAAATATTCTGATCCACATTTTCCAAATGAGGCTGAATCACAAGAGCCTTTAAATGTCAGGACTGAAAGCCAGCATTTAATTTTTAAATGACATGGGAGAAGTTCTAAACACAATCAAGTTTGAAAACCAGATTCATAATCTCTTTTCCTAAAAGAAATCTCATCAAAATTATAATAAAGGAATTTAAAAAGGCATCTAGTTGGAGGAAGCCATTATTGCATAATGGGCAGGATGGGGTTCAGACAACCTCAATCTCTCTAGTGCCATCATAGAATGCCAAACAATTAATTGAGCATAAAAGCAGAATATTTTTAACCCTAAAATGAAGCCTACCAATTGACAAACCCAAGCATATGTAGAATCATAATTTACTTTTTATATTACCATGTTATTACATATAAATGGATAACCAAGTCTTATCAAATATTAGAATAAATCCTTCAACAGGAAAGACTGAGACCAAGGTTAAAAAATGCAAATGACCTCTGAGAACATAGAGATAATTTGGCTAATAACAAGAACTTAAAAGTAAGAGATATTTAAGAAGATACTGTACTACCAATTTAAGAACAGGTACTATAAAATAAGGCTATGCAAAGAATATCAAAGTACGTGTGTGTGTGTGTGTGTGTGTGTGTATGAAAAAATTGGAAAAGAGACTTGTTGATAAAAAGAGGAGAAATCAATGAGATCAAAAGTTGAAGTAATAATATAGGTCTATAGAGGATCCAACTATCAGGTTCAATATAAGACAAATAAAGGTTGCAAAATCTCAGGAAAGAAAGTTATCAAGTAAATAATTTAAGAGAATATTCCAGGGCTTATGAAAACAACTTCACAATTAAAGCATTTACTGTTTATTCAGCACAGTGAATAATAAGACACCCCCCATTAATACATTCTAGAATAATACCAGGTTATGATGGAAGATCCTAAAAACTTCCAGAGTAGGGAAGAACAGATAGATGCATAACAGAATTTCTCATAACAAATAATGAATTCTGCAGGGCAGTGGAGATTTATTTAGAGTTATAAGGAAAAATAATTACAACTTAGATAATATCCTGAGCAAAATATAAATCAAGCATAGGAATAATATAAGGACATTCTCAGAAGTGAAAAATCTTGGGAAATTTACCTATCTATACTTTTTCTTAGAAGTTTTCATAAAGGTGAGTTCATAAGGATGAAGCGAGTAAATTATTAAAGAAAAATATCTTATTTTCCATCTAAGGAGAAATAATGTTCAAGAATCACATTGCTCCAGTAGGTCCAAAAACAATCAGTTCAAATAAGTATTATACTAGAAGAAAAGGGACTTCAAAGATTTTATGTACTTCTTTAGCATTTATTATTTTTTCAGTTAAAATGATGGTGTCAAAATATATTGTGTATATATTAATAGTATAAGAAATAGGGAGGTTATGAATGTAGCTTAGTGGTAGAACATATATTTACCATGTGTGAAGCCCTGGGTTCAATGTCCAGCACCAAGGGAAAAAAGAAATAGGAATAAAATATATTTTATTGTAGGAAAAGTAACGAATAAAAGATAAAATTAATGATATTGGGAGAAAGTAATATAAGGAAATAAGTGAGCTAGATCAAGTTGAATTAACAAAATAGTCACAAAGATATATGAATTACTTACATTTATGGAGGTGACCATTTGAAAAACTAAAATTATGCATAACTGAAAAAAATAAAAGTAAGTGCCTCAGGGACAGGATCTCAGGAGGCTGGAGTTTGCTTATTTCAAACTCTTATGCATATTTAAAATATTAAAGCATGTGCAAGTTAAATTTTGGGAAAAAAATTAAAATTAGGTGAAAATGAGAAGATATATGTATATGTACAATATGATCACTATGCTACAGGCACAAATTACTACATGTGTGAGTAAATATACATGTACACATGCTCAATTAATGTATACTTTCCAAATATTAAAAGCTTCAAGAAGCATCATAAATAATGCAATAATGAAAAAGGAGAAAAAAGAAAGCACTCATGAAAAGTTCATGGGAGACTTTTAGGTTCAGCTGAGGATATATTTTCACAAACCATCTCTTGGAAAAACAATATACAGATTTCTATGGGCTGAATTCTTATGTCAAAAACTTAAATCACCAATGTAATGATATTAGGAAGGGGAACCTTTTGGAGGTAAATACAACATGGAACAGAGATCTCATGAATTAAATTAATACCCTCATATAAGTGGCTTCTTCTACCATAATAAAGGCACAGGAAGGAAAAAGGGACTATGTATGAAGTAGAACTTGGGTCCTTGCCAGATACTGAATCTGAGGGCATCTTGTCCTTCAACATATCAGACGTCAGAACTGTGAGAAATAAATTTCTGGTTGTAATCTACCCAATTTACAGTATTTCATCATGACATCCCAAATGCGCTAAGATGGAAAATTGGTGATAAGATGTAGAGATGTTTGTGTAACAAATATCTAAAAATATGGAAGTGGCTTTGGAACTGAAAGTGGAGCTATAAAAATTTTGAGGTGCATGCTCAGCATAAACTATATAGGGTGATTCTGATAAAGGCTCAGAAGAAGAAAGCTGGAGAGAAAGCTCTAGCCTTCTTAGAGATTATCTGAGAGAATATGGACAGAATATAGGAGGAAATATGGACCAAAAAAGGACATTTTGATGAGTTTTTATATGAAAATAAGAAACACATTATTGAACAGTGGAAGGAGATCCTTTAAAAAATTTGCAAAGAACTTGGCTTAATATGCTTGTATCTTAGTGTTGAAGATAGAAATTGGGAGTAATGAAATAGGATATTTAGCTAAAGAATGTTCTAAGAAAAATGTTAAAAGTGTGACTTCTCTTAAATGCTTATGGTAAAATTCAAGGAGACAGAAATAACTTAAAGATGAAATTTTTAAGTAAAAAGAAAGTAGATCTCAAAATTTTAGAAAACTATCAGCTTATCTATATTGAATGGAAGGATAAAATATATTTGAAGAGAGAACAAAGATGTGAAAGAGCAATTGTTTAACAAGAAAATTAGTATGGATCGGCCATGTTTATGGAAGCCAGATGCTATTCTTAACATAAAGGGAAAACTGACTCTGAAACATTTCAGAGACCATCAGTGCTGCCTCTCCCATCATAAGCCCAGATTTCCAGGTCCTAGAGGATGTAACAATAGGGGGAGTAGTGCACACAAGGACTTCCATGGGACCTTGGTGCTTGCTGCCCAGCAATATTTCTAGGCTCTGCTCTCCACATTTCAGTGTCATGATACTTTGCTGCCCCAATATATAGCTCTTCAGCGAGCCAAGGTCTTATCTGGTATGTGGTGGCTGCCCTTGTGGAGGGAATAGGCCATAAATCTTAAATATCTTCATGTGGTATCATCTCCATAGGCACAGAGTTCAGGAGCTACCTGTACCACAAAAAGTACATGTCTCCACCTACATCTCAAATGGTGCCCTGGAGAGCCTTGGGACTCAGACACAGAACTTCCATGATGTAGGACCACTATAGAGAGCCCCAACTAAGGCAATGCAGAGCAGAGATGTGGTAGCAGAGTCTCCCCAAGACCCCATCCAGTAAAACCACAGGAGCAAGACTGCAGCTTTGGATAATCATGAAAACATGATCCAGGCACACAGCCACCACAGAGATGAGGCCACCACAGAGAACTGCCATGAGGACAAAGTTCAGGCATAGAACTGTGAAAGAGACTGAATTACTCAAAATAATGGGGATAGAGAAGAATGGCAACATTGGAGCTTCTTTAAGGTTGAATTTTGTTCCTGTTCTTTCATAGTTTCTAAATTTTCTATAATAACCACATATTGTTTTTGTAACAAAATTATTGTAAGTATCATATAGCCTACAAAGGTTATATATCTATAATTATGTAATTTTGGTATATACTACTTCTAGCTTCCAACAGGAAACAGAACTGTGTACATAAATAAACAACTTATAATATTATCTCTATGACTCATACACATGCAAAATAAAATTAAATGCATGTATAAGAACAGCTGTTTTATGTTGTTGGAATTATTTTTACAAAATTAGTGAGGAACCTCAAAAACATGAATATTTTCTCTCTCAGTGATGTTATTTTACTTTATATATATTAATTAAAAAATCCAAGTCACATTTTTAAAATAACAACAAATATTAAATGACTGGAGTTGATATGCTCAATAAATTAAAACAAACAAACAAACAAAACACTTACTTTGGAGAAATAGTCACAACATTCCCTGCTTGGGCAAGAGAGAAGTCAGCAGCATCTCTTCCAACAATTGTTGCATTATACACTAAGTTTTTCATGCTTGAATTTTTCAATACAATCTATATAGAAGTAGAATAGGGTATAAATAAGATAATAAATTTAAAAACCATACAACTATATCATCTCTTATTTTAACCAGAAGGTTATACATTCTAATGGTGGAAATACGTATTGCACACTAACTGGGGTAAGGCAGACTTTGTGTTTAAATACAGCACCTCTGTGTAACTATGTATATATGTATCTATCAATCCATTCATCCATCCATCTATTCATCCATATAGTTTATCTGAAGTTGGCAGTAAGGATCTTTCAACAAAGGAAATGACACATGGAAAAATCAGTTGATCATCAAGAAGTTCAAGACGAAAATTAACAATCTATATTTAACTGTTATTGCAAAGGGAAATAATTGGAGTATTTTAAACAGAGAACTTGCCTATTATAATTTTAAAAAAGGATAATCTGACTGCTCAATTCATAAAGTATTATAAGGATGTAAGTTTAAAAACATAGCTTCAGTCTGGAAATGATCATGGCCTTGTCTAGAAGCAATAGTTTAGTTAGCATTGGCTGTCTCTTCCTAAACCAGTCAGGTACAAAGTATCAGACAATCATTAGTGATTATTATTAGTGAGAATATTTTTTGAATAATGTCAGTCCACAAAGTGTTTATGTAGAATATATTGGGGATTCAAAAAATAAATGAACAAAGAAACAAATATATTAAGAATTGACAAAGGGTTTGGGTTTGTAGTTCAGTGGTAGAGCACTTGCCTAGCATGTATGAAGCACTGGGTTAGATCCTCAGCACCACATAAATATAAATAAATAAAATAAAGTTACTGCCATATACAACTAAAAGTATTATAAAAATGGAAAGAAAATAAATTGACAAAGATTTTTTAGTCCTTGATGAAATTCTAGCCAGGCTCCTTTGAGCTGTTTCACTAGGTTCTATCTTTGGGCATGTCCTTAAGAGTCCTATTATCTATCTATCTATCTATCTATCTATCTATCTATCCATCTATCTATCTGTCACTGGGGGCTGAAAAGGGGCACACTACCATTGAGCTACATCCCCAGACCTTTTTATTTTTTATTTTGAATCAGGGTCTCATTAAGTTGCTGAGGATGACTTCGAACTTATGATCCTCTTTCCTTAATCTCATTTATTGCTGGGATTATATACATGTGCCACCAAGCCTGATGATAGTTCGATTTTAGAAGAATCTTGCTAAGTTAGTTTAGTCAGAATCCTCTTCCTTTAATATCTAATCATCCTTCATATTGGACCAAATTCTTCATCCTCCACCATGTCCCAAGTAGGTGTCTTCTGATCATCCTGGCCTTCCTGCAGCAAGAATTTTGTTAGGTTGGATTACCCAGAATTTTTCTTTGACCCTAATGTTTCATCTTAATAACTCTCCATTCCTTTCTTGGCCATAAATTCTTACTTAATCTTCTTATATTCAGAGTTGAGTTCAATCTCTCTCTCTCTCCTACTGCACAATTGCATTGCAGTCCCTATACCTATTGCGACAGCACTAAATAAATTCTGCCTTATTGTTTTAACTATTGTCATGAATATTTTTTTACCAAGATGCCAGGATATCATGAAAATTACTGACCAAAAGAGGGAGAAGCCTTGGTTAAAGTGATGACCGTGAAAATTAGAGTGAGGCAAAGGTGACTAAAACATAAGTAGTCCCCAGGAGCTGTGGTCTCAGATATTTGAAAAACAGAAAAGTAACAGTATGTGTAGTTATAGTGGATCATAAGGAATATGGTAGAGATTTGGTGAAAGATTAAATTACATAATTTCCCATTCAATGAGAATTTTGGTAACTACTAGAACAAGAGTGTTGATGCTCGAGAATTCGTCCCTTCCCTCTGCCTCCAAGAATATTGGGATTTCATGTTACTTAACAATTAAAGATATTATTTCTAATGAGGGAAAGACCATTCTAGTATAGTATTTTTTATGTATGTACATATTTATGCACACTATATGCATGTATATATGTCTCTATTTCAAGTATTCATTAATGGAACAAGTGATTTTGAAGTCCCAGAGAGCTCATTTCCATTTTCTTTTTGGAAAATGATGAAAATCATAGCGGATTCTTTATGGACTATTATTGGCTTACAGTCTTGGAACTTTCATAGCCATTGCTTAGATCTTAAGGAAGCCACTTATTCTCCTTTTGTCATATTAGATATATGAAACAAAGGTATTAGATTCATCTGATGTAAGACTGTTCCAGTGATCTCAGTGTGAAATTTATTCAAAAAAAAAAAAGAAGAAAAGTTCAATTGCTTTTGAAAATTCTCAGAAAATCACTATACTTTGTTGCTTTTTTTCAATGACCACTATATTTTTTTTACTAGTTCCATCATTTATGTTTCTCTTACTGACACATAGGCATAGAGGTATTTTATTTCAATTTGAGAAGCCATTTGATAAGTTTTGTCTATATTTGATAGGGTTGATAATAATGATGTTCTCTGACTTAGGCACTACCATTTATGGGGTTGATTCATAAGAGCAAAATACATCAAAGAGTCTCAGTGATTTCCAAGTCACTGACTTTCTTAAATTAAAGACAAAAGCAAAGCATGTTGTAATTTAAGTTTTACATTGCATTTATATTTAATTTTTGTTTTGTTTCTTGAAAAACTTACCTGATATGTGTGAAAAGCAAAAGATACCTCTTTATATTTAATGCATAATCTTAAGGTCTGAAGATTACTTCTAGTAAAGAGATAAATGAGGAAATAAATCATGTTTTCATTTAAATATGTTTTCAATTTTTAACATTGTTATTGTTTGGATATGAGGTGTCCCCTGAAAAGCTCATGTGTTAGGCAATGCAGTAATCGCCAGAGAGGGACAACTGGGTGGTAACTGTAGACAAATGTGGTATGGCTAAAGGAAGTAGCTCACAGGATGCATTGCTTGGACTATATCAGTCCATGGCTCCTTCCTTTCTCTTTGTTTCCTGGTGCCATGAGCTGAGCAGCTTTCCTCCATCATGCCCTTCCACCATGAGGTTCTCTCTCACTTCAGGTCCTGAACAAGAGTTGACTGACCATGGACTGAACCTCTGAAACCATAAACCCAAATAACCTTTTTCTTCTCTAAGTTGTTATAAGGTATTTTGGGCACAGTAACAAAAAAACTTAGTATACAAACATCATAATTAATGTTTATGCTTATGTATTAGCTAGTGTTAGTATTAACTTTCTCTTTTTATGGTGCTGGGGATCAAAAAAATGGCCTGGTGCATGCTAAGCATTCACTTAACCACTGAAAACATCCATAACCCAATATTAATAATATTTGATAAATGAAAGTGATTAAGTGCTATACAGAAATATGAAGATGATATAAAGAAATATAAACAGATTTACAAAATGGGAAATAATAGTTAACTGTAATAAATTTTGTTTTGGGAAAGAAACATCCAAAACCTTACTTAAGTGTTTAATGCCATATGTCTTGTGGCCCCACAGATATCCTTACCTGTCTTATTACAGTGTCATAGAGAGTACAATGAAATGGCACCACCTTCTTGGGGAGATATGTAGGGAGCCTTTCATACATATAGACACAAAGCATGAGCATCAGGATTGGATTTGGATCACAGATGTCAGTGGCCTGGTTCCAAAGAAGAGAAACATAAATTAGAGGATATACAGACAAAAAATACAAAGAAAGAATAGGTGTAATATACCAATATTGGATTATTTAAGACATTTTTAGCATGCTTTTGATGGACAATGACACTGAAACATAGATACAGAGAACAAAAGAGTATTCTGACTTAGAAGAGCTTTACCTAAGTGTTAAAGATGATATACTCTAATCAGAACACTGACCTCACATCACAAAGATGCTGAAGTAAAAGATGACAAGAAATTTTCAAGTAAAAGTCTATAGGAGTAAATGGCACATGAAATGTGGCATAAACAATGATTGGCACCTGTAATTTTGGCTCCTCAAGAAGCTGAGATAGGAGGGTCACAATTTCAAGGCCAGCCTGGGCAACTTAGCAAGACTCTGTCTCAAAATAAATTGTTTTAACAGAAGGGCTGGGGATGCAGCTCAGTGGCAGAGTACTTGCCTAGCATTCACCAGACATGGGTTCAGTAACCAGTATTGGAAAAAAATAATTCTTGGACTTTAAATAGGTTGTGACTGGTAATGGAGAAGGTACATTCTATCAGAAAAGCAGAGCACCATGGCAGAGTACCATGGAGCAAGGATATAAAGAAGCACAGAGTTTGTTCAGGAAAGGAGAACAATTTATATTATGCATAAGGTTAGAAGGGATAAGCAGTGGGAGAAGAGTGAGTTTTGGGTCACATTGTGGAGGTTCTGGATGCCAAGATGAGGGATTTGATTTGATTTGTTTGGTACTGAGGATTGAACCCAGGGATGCTTTACTACTGAGCTACATCCACAGCCCTGTTTATTTTTTATGACACAGGGCTCACTAAGCTGCTTAGGGCCTTGATAAATTTCAGATGATGGCCTTAAACGTGTGATCCTCCTACTCAGCCTCTGGAGTCACTGTAATTACAGGCATGTGCCACCATGCCTGGCAGGATTTGGTTTTTGAACAAGGAATAATGAGATAAAAAGCAACAATTCAGGCAGATCAAGCTTATGGTTATTGGGAAAGTGTCTTATGCAGAACGAACAATTATAATGCAGAAAATGTAACTTCACTGATAAACAACATAAATTAGAGATGGCTGTTAAAATTGATATAAGATAAAATTCAAAGTTACAAAGGAATAATAGCTGGGGCAATAAATGTATCCAAAATGTAAGCCTGAAGATAAAAACGTAGAATCATGCAGTTGTAGGAAGGACTCTATCAGTTTATGTAGTGCATGTGATCTCTTTGAAAAAGGTGAATGTAGTGGGGAAGATTTTTCACAGAAAAGAGGTATTGGGATTGGTGAGAGGCAGGCATCCAAAGACATACAAGACCACTAATAAATGAGCAGTTCTGTCATTGTCAATGCAAAGGGAGCTCTCAGCAGTCCCATGAAGATCTACTATGACTTAATGGCACACAACCAAGTTTATAATTGAAAATGATCTGGGCCTAGTCTGGAAGTACAAACAGTGTGAGCCAGGTTCTAATGTATTATGCAAGTGATTCTGAACTTTGGCAGCAGTTTCCAGAGAATAATGATAGCCCCTCTGGTCATCTGCTAGTTTATATTTCCTAATACACTCTTGTCTTCTTTGGAAGAAGTAAGGATTTGTTCTTTCTTGTTTTGCCAATTAGGAATAACATTTGCCAATGAAGGTGCCTGGGGAGGAGACTGATTTAAAAATAAGCAAGTAAGTAAGTAAGTAAATAAATAAATAAATAAATAAATAAATAAGGAATTGTCCTGCCTGCCTTAGCAGCATAGAAAGTTGCCTGAGGGTACGATTTGAGAATAACTTGGAAATATACCAAGTTACCCAAGTTTCTCATCAGTAGTCTATGACCTCACATCCCTCAATAAAGATAGTATTAAACAATAGACAAAAGTAAGTGGTTCAAGAACAAATTAAAGACAAAATATAGAACATAGAGTTTAAGTCCCACATGCATCTTTAAAGTGTAAGAAGGTAAATTTCAAAGTGAAGAATATGTCCTGGCTGGACCCTATGTATTGAACCAGTCCATGAAAGATATGATCCCAAGAGGGGCTATCTAAGGTGAGGAGAGATTTGTTTGTTGGAAAAAAAAGGGAAAACTAGTAGAAAAACACTATGTATGGGCTTACATGTGGGGTTAATAAAAGTCTTTTGAACCTGCTTTAGTATCTATGATACAAAATTGTATTAGTAGAAATATAGAAATAATGTAAAAATGTACCTTTGAAAATATGATAAAAATCCAGTAATTTAAAAATGTTTCTCTTAATGGAAAAACATGCCACTAAACTTAGAAATAAAATAAAGGAACATTCTCATCTTTATGATACATTTAACTGAAAATAACCTAAAGCAATTTAATCCTAGACCTTTTAAAAAGGCAAATGGTAAAACATGTTTCTTTTAAAAATTTTTTATTTGATCTTTTTAGAAATACATGAGATGCTATACATACATGGAGTATAACTGGTTCTAATTAGAACACAATTCTTGGTGTTGTATACGATGTGGATTTTCACTCATGTTGTATTCATATATGAACATAAGAAAGTGATGTCTGATTCATTCTACTGTCTTTCCTATTTCCATCCTTCCTCAATGGATTAGAAAAAGGGGAATGAAAGCAAGTTATGTTTCTCTGAAAAAATATTTTCATGTGAAATTCCTTTTAAAAATATAATAATAACTTTTCCTATATAGATCCAACCTTCTAGAACATCAATTGTATTAGTCCTTTTTCCCCATGAAGATAGCATTTTTCTATTGCATTAACAAAAGAACAGGGAAGTAAACTGCTATCGTTTTGATGTTGAATATCCCTTCAAAATTCCATGTGTTAAAGTCTTGGTGCCCAGCATGGCATTACTGGAAAGTAGTGGAACTTTAATGGATGAGGATAAGTGAGAGGTCTTAGGTCAATGGGGGTGTACCCTTGGAGGGGATAGTGGGACACTGTCTCTTCCTTTTTCTCTTTCATTTCTAAACCATGAGATAAACACTTTGTTCCTTCCCATACTACTGCTGTGATGTGCTACCCTTATCAGAAGCCCAAAACAATGGGGTCTCTTGATTTTAGACTAGAACTTCCAAAAACATGAGGCAAAATAACTCTTCTATCTTTACAATTTAATTATTTCAGGCATTGTAGTAATGGAAAGTTGACTAATACAAATAAGCAAACAAAATAATAATAGAAAAAAATGCAAAAGTAGAATCTGGTAAACTAAATTCAAGTTCTACTTCTATAGAGTGCCATGCTCTTGACTAACTGAACTGGATTTCCTAGGCCTCAGTTTCATCATCAGTAGCTAGAAGAGGTGATGTGGTCCTGGCTTTATGATGGATTTAACGTGCCATTACTAACATTGCCCAAAGACATACTGCAATCCTATAGATACCACTGTTGATTTCCCAGCAGCCAATTCCTTCTTTCATCTTTACTAAGAATCCCACTTTTTGTAGGAGTTCTATTCCTTTTATCCACCACTGGTTTAGTCACAAACATGACGCAATTCTTATCAATGATATGCAATTAGAAATATGCTGTGAGGTCATTGGAAGAGGTTTAGTTTTTGCAAAATGAAAAGCACAATAAGAAGTGCTACTCAGTCTCAGATCTAGCTACATGAATGAAGGTGCTATGTGAAAATTTCAGCAGGAATTTTGGATTTCTTAGTGTACATGTCTAAAGGAAGCCACAAGGCTGAGAATGGCTGAGATAAAGAGTCCTTCATAACTTTATTGGAACACCTGAATTCCTAGAATTTTTACTGCCTGGCTAAATCTGATGCAAAATATTCCATTTCCTTATTTTTCATTAAACCTACTTTTATACTCATGAATTTGGCTATTTTAGACTTAAAGTATCCTAGGTAACAAGACAAAAGCAAACAATAAATTTTAAGGACATAGATTATCTATTCACCCTTAGCTCCCATCATTACTCATTAAATTACATACAACCTGTATAAATTATTTATTAGCTTTATTTTCTTATGTCCACTTTTACATGAGGGAATAAAATATACATGTTATCCTGAGATCAAACAATTCCCACAATATTTCTGCTTTAAGTAAAAACTATATAATTAAAAAGGAGAATACTTAATAGCTGTATCTTCCTGTTAGAAGGATTCTACAAGAGGATATAACATATACACAGCAACTTATCCAGCTGATTTTCCAGTTGTAACAAAGGGCATAATGAAAATGAAACTTAAATATTAATAAATAAGTCCAGTGCTAAATGTCACAGGAATCGAATGTGGACCAGTATAAACATCTGCATTAATTTACTACTGATGAGTTAAATTAAGGATGACATTTCTAAATCTGCCAATTGACCTGGTTGGTAACTTTGGCATCACAACTGGCTAATAAAGCCTTGGTTATTATCTTCTATGTTAATTGTCAATTTCCTCATTAATCAAATCTTGAAATGCCTCCACATTTTATCTCGCAGATATTTATTTTTAAGTATTTTCTCTATATAATAATATAGACAGCTTGACTCAACATATCTGAGGAAATCATAAAGAAAAGGAGTGAATCATAATGTTTGATGGATTATATTTCTTTATTTGTTAATATAATATTTTATTTTTTTAATTTTTATTGTTGGTTGTTCAAAACATTACATAGTTCTTGACATATCATATTTCACATTTTTATTCAAGTGGGTTATGAAATTCCATTTTTACCCCGTATACAGATTGCAGAATCACATCAGTTACACATCCACTGATTTACATATTGCCATACTAGTGTCTGTTGTATTCTGCTGCCTTTCCTATCCTCTACTATCCCCCATCCCCTACCCTACCCTCCACTCTTCTCTCTCTACCCCATCTATTGTAATTCATTTCTCCCCCTTGTTATTTTTTCCCTTTCCCCTCACTTCCTCTTGTATGTAATTTTGTATAACCCTGAGGGTCTCCTTCCATTTCCATGCAATTTCCCTTCTCTCTCCCTTTCCCTCCCACCTCTCATCCCTG